TTGAAGAAGAGGAAGAAGAAGAAATAATAACAAAATAAATGGTTAAATAACATATATTTATGTATATATTATTAGTAGAAATATATTTTATTTATATGAAAAAATTAAGCTAAAAAAATAGTTAATTGTGTGAAGGCAACTGATATAGTTAAATATATTGCTAAGTCCTACCTTTTCACCTTGACATAATGCTAACAACATATATCATGCACACAATGCAATTCAAAAGCCACTGATAACATTATGACTGATATCTCTACCCCATTATAAGTTCATGCAAGGTTCAGATAAAGATTAAATATCTTATAAACTTAAAATGCTCTTAAGAATTTGCTAATTAGAATATTTTATTTTTTGCAACTTTATTGATTTAAACGTTAGAGTGTTCCTTTCAAAACAAATACTAAATCATGTTTTATCCAAATTGTTTGTAGGTTACCTTAATTGTATCATGGGCATAGGAAACTATTATCTTAGCCTCTATCAATTTTCAAAAGTCATTAAAAATAAAGATAGAGAATATAAGTATTTCATAAGTTGATAATTTTTTCTCAGTAATATAATTAATGGTGTCAATTGTTAGATTTGATTCTAAGATTATGATCAAAGACTATGCCCCCAATATCGATATAATAACTATAATAGTGTAATAGTAACTTCAGGTACTTATACTAAACTTTTAAGACCAATATTTGAGACTTGGAGAAGATTAGGTAATTTGGTTGTCTAATTGTTTCATCATCACATGTTAATGTTTAATCACTTACTCAGTCTTTCACTTGCATTGTATTTTGTCACATATTAATAATATGTGTCATTTTCTTTATTTTGTATTTCACAAGTATTTTTTTTTAATTATTTATAATAGTAGGATATATTTTTAAAAATGTTTACTTTTACGTACTTTTTATTTATATAAAATACATATATAATAGAAAATTTGATCAACTGTTGATAACTCAATTTACAATTTTTATTTAAAAAATTAAATATTTTGTTTTATATAATTTGAATTTTAATTAAAAAATTATAATAATAATTGCGAGAGACGTAATGATAGTATTATAATAAAAAAGAAATTAAATTTCTCAATTTTGAAAGAAAAAATATTCTTTTAAAAGAGTAACAAAAACATTTTTAGATCATGTAATATAAGGGTTTATATATAGTTTGAATCCGAGCGTTATTTATAACATTTATTAATTATTCGTATGTATATGTGTATATATATATATATATATATGTATTAAATAAATCTATATACCAAAAAAAAAAAAAAGAGGAAAATAATTGGTAAATAAAGGCAGGCCGCCACATTAGAAATAAGTGACCGACATGCATAAATGGACTGCAGGAGATTGTACCTGGCAAGACATCATTTACCTTTTCATGTTAATAATGTCTGTTTCGAACTCAAAACCCCATAAATTAATAAATTAATTCCAATCTTAATCTTCTCTGTCGGTGGATAAATCCTCTCTCCACCACATTATGTATCCACAATATTTTTATTTCTTACGTCAACTATTTCTATTGGCTCCATACATATATATATATACATACATACATACATACATACATACATACATACAATACAAATGTCAAAAGAATATCAAATACAATATAGAAAAAAAAAAAAAAAAAAAGAAATTTCTAAAAGTCAAATTTTCTCAGCCCCGGACACATGAAAAACAATAATGAACGAGTCAATATATTTGTTCTCAATTTATGTATAGGTTTTTCGAATTTCATTTAATTTTCTAAATAAAATAAGTTTATTAAGTTTTCTCATTATTTTTTCTCCACTAATAAATTTAATTGTAGTCTATAAATATAAAACCAACCTAATTTTTGAATATTTTTTTAGGTAAAATAAAAATAAAATTCAAACTCGAATTATCAAAGGAGGTTTGCAATCAAATTTATATAGGGACCAAATATTTTTAATTTAATTTAAATTATTAATTAAAAAAATCATTTTTACGATAAAATAAATAAAATTTTAGATGATTAAATGAAGATAATTGTCATTTCACTTAAAATAATTCAGCCCAAATAAGATTCTTAAAATTATGGAACATACGGTTGATCAGGTGTAGTATTTTACTAAGCTGCGAGTGTTGGAGATTGTGGGAGTAATTAAGAGCATTCTAATTATAATGAAATTTGGCAGAGTTAATTAAATAATAAAAATAAAACTTAAATATATATATATATATATATAATAAAAAAATTTAAAAAGAAAATGAAATGACAAGAATGCCCTCAACGGTGCGTCTCCTATCATAATTTCGAGACAATTGGGGGCCCAAGAAGATGGCGTAGAGATCTGTTATCTACACAGTGAAGCACATGCAAATGTTTTGTAGTGCTCAGAATCTGATGGGTCCCGATTCAACTTGGACATTTTTGCATCCACAATTTTTGACTCCATCATCTACTTCCACCTTCTGATCTGCATACTAATACCTTCTTGACTCTTCCATCAGCCGTTGATTCACATCTCTCTCTCTCTCTCTCTCTGTGTTCCGTACTTGGGTTCGACCTATCGGGCTCCATTATAT